TTTGTCGGTTGATCGCTATCTGACGCTGCACCTCACGAATGATCCTCTGCTGCTCCTGCACTCGCCTAAGACGTTCCATCTCCTGCCTCTGAGCGGACAATGTGGCTTCGTCCAGTTGCGTTTCGTCCATCACTTCCCGAATGTTCCTCCGCATGTTGGCCAGCTTTTTCTCCGACTTTAACTCACATTCTGATGTGCTACCCTCGGTGCTACCGTCATCCTTCTTTACTTTCTTTTTTGCGCTGTCAGAATGATCGGAATCGGCGTGTCTCTTGTTACTGTCAGTGCCTTCCTCTCCCGATTGTCCATCCATCTTATCGTTATCATTATCTATGCTTTCTTCATCTGAATCCTTTGTTATTGGCTTTCCTAGCAGATCAGCTTCAGATACTTCTTGACCCTCTATAGGTGCTCCTTTTGATAATACAAGAATAAGAAATATTAAAATAATATGATAAAAATCATTTTAACATTTTAACTAAATACTTTTTTATGACACATTTATTACATATTATTACATAATTTATATTAGAAAAATTATATGATAGATATAATAACTAATATTTATTTCTCTATATTATAATATATGTTCTAGAATGCAAAATGTTTTCAAAACAGTGAATTTGCATATTTTTAATTCCATATTTACAATCTATTATTAGCTCAACTAATTTAATTATACAAAATAATTATTGAATTAACAAAATTCAGAATATAAGATTAAAAAAATATAAAATTAGATTAAATTAAAATAGAATTCCATTTTATTGATCCAGTAATCTCAAACATTAATCTAATTTAATTAAATTATTAGATAAAATTAATTTAAATAAAAATGATTTAATAGAAAATTTTATTAATGCATCTTAATTTAAAATTTAATTCACTAAATCAAAATAAATGTTGAATACATGCTATTAGCATTCTTACAAACCTTCCAGTGGTAAAGTATCCAAAATATTAACTTGTTCTTCGTCGTCTTCATCTGGAGACTGATGATGTGGTTGCCTCTCCGACTCCACTCTGACACCAATCTGCGAATCAATCGTTTCATCCAGATCCATATCGTCCCCCGAACCCTCCGAGCGTATCTCTTCTATTTCCTCGGATTGCAAAATGTCGAGTTTCTTCTCTTGCTCGCCGTCCGTTGTTTCACCACTCGACTCATCTGAGCTCTCATCATTAGTTGCCTGTGGCTCAGCGTTCATGTTTGCACTTGTCGCAGTCTCACTGGTCATCATATTCGTTTCACTAGGCTTGGGGGCACCACGTGGAGTCACACGTTCAATTGTGACATCCCCTATGCGTGTGAGAAAGCTGTCCAAACTATTAGACATGGTGCACCATACATGAAGTCACAACGTGTACTTTATTGATATGGAATGTCTTACACGTTTAAACACAATACTAATCATCTATTAGCTTAACACTCACATTGTTTAATTGTCATTCAAAATGCCTTTCCTTTCCTGTAATGACACACACATATACATTCTTGGTATGTTACTTTATTTAACATATGTGCTTAGAAACTGTTACATGTTGATAAAGAGATAAAATATAGGTAAAATAGTAAAGACTCTTTATAGACAAACATTAAAAATATGTCAATGCTAACCATACTCTAGAAAGTTTTAATTTTTAGTAAAATAACTATACACTGGATTAATATAATAAACTTAATAAAATGAATGCTTTTTATAAACTGACAAAGAGCTGGAATATTTGACAGCTCTCTTTTCAGTTAATACTTTCTTATAAACAGAATATTAAAAGTTCTATTCTTTTTTAAAAAAAGTTTTGAACTGGAATATACTGGTATAGTGAATTAGAGTAAAAATTATATTTAAATAATTATAAATCAAATTTAGATCACTAAAAATAAATTTAAAAAAAACATTCCTATTTTCAGTTAAAATGAATTTTGATATTATTTATATACAAATCTTTATAAAACTGAAAAATATATTTGTAAATGATTATTGTATCTGCATGTAAATATTATCAAGTACTAAGATTCACTTTAATCGAATCTTATTCTTACTTAAACTATATTTTACTTCAACTTATTGTTCTAGTTCAGAAATTTCTTTAAAAAAGAACAAATAGCTTAAATTTTCTCAACTTTTCTTATATAAAACAAAATAATTAATGATATACAGCATAGTAAATCTATTTACTTAGCCTTTGAAAAAAATGCTTTATTCAACATGTGATATCAGAAATCTTTCATTATAAAATCAAGCTTTCTAATCTCTTGGATCTATTCTAACACGTGGTGATACTTATTTTAACCCTTAGTATACACGATTGAATCATTCATATCCTGTACATTCCTTTTTTTTTTGGAAAAACTAAGAGCCTCAAATAATCAGTTATAACATTTATATACAACTGTTTTTCTAAATACACAAGCTCGTAAATACTTTCTAAAGATATAAAAATATAAGTATGTAAGAATCATTTAATAATTCTTGTATATTTTTTAATGTTATGAAAATTAACTAACCTGAGACACAAATAATCCATCGTGTATACTAAAGTAATGAAGAATTGGAAAATCATCATATATATTAAAGTTAAAAATTAGATATCTAGTACCTCCTAAATATCATCAAGAGTTACGGCATCCATCGAATCTATCTAAAACTCCAAAAGAGAGAGAACGCAAAAGATTTGCCAAAAGTAATTCTCGTATGAGTCCTTCTTGGAGTCGATTTGTTTGGAGTAACACGGTGCGGGATAGGTAAGTTTCTATCAGACAATCTCGTAGCTCACCGATGAGGATCGATCTTGATCACATTGTCTGCCGAGTAGGCTCAGCCTCGAACACAGGACATCATACACGTGAGTCGAACAATCCGAACACGTGTTTAAAACTATGACGATCGGTAACGACGGTGGCAGTCGAGCGTGAAATACCGGTGCGGAAGAGGAAGCTGCGAGGATGAGAGATAAGAGACGATAGGCCAGAACGTTTGTTTATGACGTTTACACGGCGGGTCTAACTACACTTCCGCGGCGTGCCCTATCCACCGTTTCGTTGTAGACGCGTCCTGATGTTCTTCTCCCTCCCTCTCTCTTTCTTTCTCTCACTCTCCCCTTCTTCGTTTTCACAGATCAGCCGCCTGATCGGCAATCACGCGCGCACGACGGACGCCATGGTCGGTCGTCGCATTCTGTTTTCGTGTTCCTGTAACCGAGCGGTGGCCCTGCGTCACCGTCTTTCACGTCCGACGAGCTCGGCCCCGCGGCCGGATCGCTTCCATGCCAGCGGCGACGGCCGAGGAAGAGTCCGTCCCCGTCCGCGCCGCGCTGAGCCGAGGCGAGCCGAATGACGAATTCACACCGCGCCACGCTTTACGTCACTTCACCGCCACGCCGCTCCGCTCCGCGCCGCGCTGCTATTTCCCCGCGCGCACCGCACTCTTAGGTTAACGTCGAATAAACCCCGGTGCGGTAACGCGCACGCACTCCCGAGCGCACGCACTCACCGTCGACCGGTCCTCGCACCTCACGCGAGCACCCCGCGCGAAGCGTCGGTGGTCGTCGCGGCACCCCGCGGCATTCCTTTTTTCTTTCACGCGCTCCTATCCGACGGCGTACTCCACTCGGCGAACGCCATCTTGGTTGCTGCACCACCGTCGTTGCACCGCCACTCGCTACTCGGCCACTCCACTTGCCGCCGCCGCCACTGAACGAGCGAGCCGCGCACGTTCTGGCATCACTGCGCCAACATTCGCAAGAGTATCAGAGGCGTCGGAGGTCGACTGGCTACGTACTTTCAAGAATAAGTCGTTCAACCGACATATGCACTATAAACTTCTCTCAAGCAATACAATGATATATGATATCGGAGAAATTTGATCTAACGTTGATTCATTGGAACGGTTCTAGAATTTGTATTGTTTATTTTGTACCTCGAGATAAGAACGTTCCTCGAAGGGTTAATGGAAATCTCTATTGTTAAAAAATATAGCTTTTTGATAAGAGAAAGATGGAAGAGGATGATTATGATTACTTAGTATGGGATTACAAAGATATTGATAACATGGAATTTTTCTCACTCCATCCGGTAGTCTTCTGTTTATTCAAGGTCGCATATATTTGCAATATCTAATTTTAATTAAATGTCTGGTTGAAGTTTTTTTGTTTGGAATGTTTACCTACCACATGTTTTCTTAAGCTATCAAAACAATCATTTTCTATTGGAACAAATGTACAATAATTTGCTTTTCATATATATAACACTTTATTTTTTATATAAATTTAAATATTAAAAATTCAATAATTCTTAATTTATAATCACAATTCGCGATTGTCAACGTTACGAAACCTTATATTGTTATGTAATATAAATTAAGGTTTTTTTTTAAATTAAATACAAAATTATAAAGGAAAGAATTTGAACAAGAACTTCCTGGAAAATTCCTTTTTATATCAATTTAATAGAATATAATACATATGCTTACATTTATAAGATTTATGCTATACTTTATCATGTATGAGAAATAAAATTATATACAGATAATATGTGCAATGCGGTACGCATATTGTAAATTCATATTAAAGTCTAATTGAGGTATTAAAATAATCAAATGA